ATTAGGATTTAGCAAATATTACGAAAATCTACACAATCTGACTGTGAACAATACAGATGCTATATTATTTTGGCTGGCTACTTAGGATGTTGCTATAGGAATTATGTAGCATGTCTCTTCAGGAAGAAGAAGATAATGAAAAACAAAGTTGAATACTCCATTCAATTTAGCATTATTTTTTTTTTTATTTGTTTGTGCCTAACATAAACTCATGTACTTTGTGCTAACCGGAATATAAAGATAAGCAAGGTACAATTTCTGGTCTAAAAAATTTTAGCATCTAGTGGGGAGAATGGAAGGAATATGACACACTTAACAAAAGAAAGCAAGGCAAAACTGCCACAAGAGATAGAAACAAAATACCCCAGGGTTTAAAACCGATCAGGGGGGCGCCTGGGTGGCTCAGATGGTTGAGCGTCTGCCTTCGGCTTGGGTCATGGTCCCAGGGTCCTGGGATCGAGTCCCGCGTCGGGCTCCCTGCTCCTTGGGAGCCTGCTTCTCCCTCTGCCTCTCTCTCTCTCTCTCTCTCTCTCTGTGTGTTTCATGAATAAATAAATAAAATCTTTAAAAAAAAATAAAACCAATCAGGGACTCAAAATATGGAAGGATCACATCTAAGTGATCTAGAATGTGATCTTACTGCGAAGATCTTTGCATAGAGAGGAGAGCCATGGGAAGGAGGGATGGAAAAGAGATTTGAATGATGTTGAATACTGAGCTAGTCATTGTTCATTAATTTTCAGTAGATAATGAATGATTGTGTCTACTCAAGGTAATCGTGTACTAGAGCTATTCTTTAGAAAAATGATGTTAGCTTTAGAATGTGGAGTAGATGAGAATAAGGGGAGACAAAATAAGAAGAGGCTTTTGTAATTGGGTTTTCAGTGGAAACAATAAGCAAAGGAAAGACTTGAGGGGTTCTCTAGCTTGCCTATCAGGGTGAAGAATGAAAGCAATGAAAATGAACTAATTCCAGCTACACAGGGAGGATTTCACAAGAGCTTCAAGAATCCGAGCTAATTTCTATTTCTTGGCCTGAATGGTGGCTATATGGATTTTATTAATCTACATCCACTTGGCTAAATGATAAGTACAGTATTTTGTGTCCCTAGTACTTAATTTAGTCCCTTGGAAATTTCCTAATGATCCTGTTTTTCGAATTGTAATTTCAGAAGTGATCTGATAATAAGAATAAATATTTACTACTGGGAAAATGTTGGCTCTAGGATTGTTGACCCTCCGTGGCCTTGATCTCAGGCATGACCCACCACTTGTATTCTCTGCTCTCATGCCAAAGTGGCTAAAGAATTCTAGAAGATGTCATGAAATAATGCTGATTAGGCTACCTGCAGATTTGTTCAGTATAACTAGGTCATTTGTAATACTCAGACCTTTATGTCATTTTTTTCTTATTTTCCCAAGGCTAGGAGTTATGAATGGGAGATGGTAGGAAGTCTGTAGGGCAAGGGTTTTAAAGATGGTGACAAGTGTAATCTAGATTTTGGAGGTATGGAATCTTACAGGGGCAGTGACAGTTGGGAAGAATCACCAAGGCCTAAGGAATCAAAGGTCGTAACTGAAGATGAAAGATAACGTAGATTCAGAATAGAGAGAATGTGAATAGGTTAAAGAAGATTCTTGTACTCAAAAGTAAATTGGGAGGTGACAGTTTAGATGTATAGACAGTCCCCAGCATAAAATTGTTTAACTTAGGATTTTTTTTTACTTTACAGTGTTGTGAAAGCAATACACATTCAGTAGAAACTGTACTTGGGATTTTGAACTTTTCTTGGGTTAACAGTATGTGGTAGGATATTCTTGTGATGCTGGGCAGCGGCAGAAACCACAGCTCCCAGTCAGCCACACAATCATGAAGGTAAACAACCAGTACATTTAAAACCATTCTGTACCCTTACAACCAGTCTGTTTATCATTTTCAGTACAGAATTCAATAAATTACATGAAATATTCACTTTATTATAAAATAAATAGGCTTTTAATTAGATGATTTTGCTTACATGTCAGCTAATGTCAGTGTTCTGAGCATGTTTAAGGTAGGCGAGGCTACGATGTTCAGGGGGTTAGGTGTACTAAATGCATTTTCCAACTTACGATATTTTCACATTATGATGGGTTTATCAGGATGTAACCCTGTCATAGTCTAGGAAGATCTAACAGTTTGAAGAGGTGAGGAAGGGATATTAAAAAATGGTCTGCTTTGGATATCAAATATGCTAGGCACACCGCTCCTCATGGCCATAGGTTTTTCCCCCCAGAACGCGAAATTCATTCCAGATGGAAACCATACTGTCTTGACAAGTCTTTGAAGTCAGTCATGCTTGACATCCCTTTTAATGCTATGGTATCAAAATTGTGTTTTATTAACAATTTTGGGGGTTTTCTGTTTGTATAGAGTATGGAAAACAGCACTGTGAGAAAAAAGAATATTTTCACATTTGATGGTGGAGTCATTTCTAAATTATTTTAACTTGAGGGCGCCTGGGTGGCTCAGATGGTTAAGCGTCTGCCTTCAGCTCTGGTCATGATCCCGGGGTCCTGGGATCGAGCCCTGCATCAGCCGGAGTCTGTTACTCCCTCTCCCTCTGCCCCTCCGCCTGCTTGTGCTCTCTTGGTCTCGTGCACACACACACACTCTCTCTCAAATAAAATTTAAAAAAAAAACTTGTTTAAAAAATAAATTATTGTAACTTGAGTCAAAGTAATGTGCCACAGGTTTATCCCCCTCGGTCTAGCAGCCATGCAGAAGTTCTTACTGTACTTACCGTTTAGCCAAGTGGATATAGATTAATAAAATCCATACAGCCACCATTCAGGCCAAGAAATAAAAATTAGCCCGGATTCTTGAAGCTCTTGTGAAATCCTCCCTGTGTAGCTGGAATTAGTTCATTTTCATTGCTTTATAGGACTCAATTGTTTTAATATACCACAAAAAATCTATTTTTTTTTTAAAGATTTTATTTATTTGACACAGAGAGACACAGTGAAAGAGGGAGCACAAGCAGAGGGAGTGGGAGAGGGAGAAGCACGCTTCCCGCTGAGCAGGGAGCCCGATGCGGGGCTCGATCCCAGGACCCTGGGATCGTGACCTGAGCCGAAGGCAGACGCTTAACAACTGAGCCATCCAGGTGCCCCCCACAAAACTATTGATGAACATTTGTTTTGGGGCTTTGGGCTCTTAATGTAAAATGTGACTGTGAACATTTTTTTTTTTATCTTTTACTGAGGTACAGTGACATACAGGATTATTAGTTTCATGTGTACAGTGTAATGATTCGATACTGGTATATATTGCTAAATGATCACCTCAATGAGTCTGGTAAACATCCATCACCATACATGTTACAATTTTTTTTCTTGTGATGAGAACTTAGCAACTTTCGAATATACAATACAGTATTGTTAACTCTAGTCACCATGCAGCACATTACACCCCTGCATCTTGTCTTATACTTGGAAGTGCGTACCTTTTGACCTCCCTTCCCCCAATTTGCCCACTCCCTACCCTCCATTGTAGCAAACAGTTTGTTCTATGAGCTTGGTTGTTTTGGGCTTTAGATTCCACATATAGGTGAGATGATACAGTATTTGTCTTTCTCTGACTTATTTTGCTTAACATGATACCCTCAAAATCCATCCATCTTGTCAACAAGTGACCAGATTTTCTCTTATGTCTGAGTAATAATAGTCCATTGTATGTATGTGCCACATTTCCTTTTCCACTCGTAAGTCCTTGGACACGTAGGTTGTTTCTATATCTTGGCTGTTGTGAATTAGGCTGCAATGAACATATATATATATGGGAGTGCATTTTTTTTTTTAAGACTTATTTTTGTGAGCGAGAGTACGTGCACGGGGGTGGGGGGATGGGCAGAGGGAGAAGCAGACTCCCCGCTGAGCAGGGAGCTTGATGTGGGGCTCGATTCCATGATCCTGAGATCATGCGTGAGCCAAAGGCAGACACAACCATCTGAGCCACCCAGGCGCCCTGCATGTATCTTTTCAAGTTAGTGTTTTTGTTTTCTTTGGACAAATACTCAGAGGTGGAATTGCTGGATCATGTGGTAGTTCTGTTTTTTGAGGCAGCTTCATACTGTGTTCCTTAGTGGCTGTACCAGTTTACCTTTCCACGAACAGTGCACAAGGGTTCCCTTTTCTACACATCCTCGCCAACATTTATTCCTCATCTTTTTGATAACAGCAGGTATGAGGTAATACCTCACTGTGGTTTTGATTTGCATTTCTCTGATGATTAGTGATGTGTTGAGCAATTGTCTCATGTACCTGTTGGCCATATGTAGGGCTTTAGAAAAATGTTCACATCTTCTGTCCATTTTTTAATTGGATTGTTTTGCTATTGAGCTATGAGGTCTTTGTATATTTTGGATATTAACCCCTTATCAGATGATTTGCAAGTATTTTATTCCATTCAGTAGGTTGCCGTTTCATTTTGTTGATGCTTTTCTTTCTGTGCAGAAGTTAGTTTGATGTAGTTCCACTTGTTTATTTTTGCTTTTCTACCATTTTTATGGCTTGGATATGGTAGAGAGATAACTATATATGCCTAACATTTTGTCTTATAATTTTAAGTTCCTCTTCTGCCTTTATATATTTAAAGCATTAATTAACCCTTTAATACTATCTGGTTTGATACCACAGAAGTACCTACATGGGCATCCTCTCTACCCTGGTAACATTCAGTACTGCATATTTATGTATTTATCTCCCTATACGCATTTTCAGAGAACAGTGTTTGATTAATCTTCGATGCCTGTCACATATGATAATGTCAGAGGTAGAGGGGAATCTAAATAAATGCTTTAACTATTATTAAAAATAGTTTGGAAACATAAAACCATGAAGATGTAGAGTTGGTGTTCTGGTGAATGACTGTTTTATAACAAGGTAAGAGTAAGTTTTCACATATTTCTACATCATCAAATGTTGATCATTTCAGAATGAATAGCAATATGCCATTTCAGGGATCTGTTTCATTCACGGATGTGACTGTGGACTTCACTCAGGAGGAATGGGAGCAGCTGGACCCCTCACAGAGGATCCTCTACATGGATGTGATGCTGGAGAATTATAGCAACTTACTGTCAGTGGGTAAGGACCTCTTTCGGGTGTAGCTTAGGGTTTGCCTACCTTTTGTGTACTTCCTCCTGTACCAGCAATTCTGAGTTTCTGAATCACTGAGTGGTTTTGTCCTTCAGCTTCAGTTGTTAAAGCTGAGAGAGAGTGCAGACTCTGAAGTTCTATCTTCTTTATTTTTGGGGATTTCTGAAGTCCAAGCAGTTAGGAGCTATGTTCCATTAGCAAGTTATCTGATAGTGTCAAACCAGATGTGATTTTCAAGCAACAGGAGGAGAAGTATAGAAAGCATATTAACAATTGCCATTTCACAGTTTTCTAGGGAAGATGGCAAAAGAGGGAAGGAGAATCAAGGTAGGGAAGTAATATCCTAGGGATCATGAGTGGGTTAAAATATTTTTTAAGAAGCAGTTTTTCAGGTCCCCAAACCTTTAGCCATGGCCAAGACCAGATATAACCTGTATTCCTCAGATCTCCGAATCATACCTTTTTTCCTGTTTAACTTTTGTATTTTTCCCTCACACTTGGCATTGCCTAACCTTTCTTAAACCTGTGTGATTAGTATTGTCAGTTTGCCAGAATGGTGACTGTGATATTTTAGGCATGGAATTAGTGTAATAGCTGCTGTATGGGGAAAAAAAATAAAAACCAACAACAAAATTTATTTATTTTTTTTTTTAGTGTAAGGGCGCTGTCTTTGTCCTAGACACAGATGGCAGCAGGCTCACAAGAGTCAGGAATGACCAGCACCACATAGATGAAAATAAAGGTTATTAAAGGTCTAGATCAAGGTTGGATAAATCTGATCCTTAAGATTTCTTTCAAATGAAAGCAGGGACAAGACTGGTTTAGAGAAGAAATTAAACATGTTAGGAGAAAAATAAGATACTTCGGTAGAAAAAAGTAGTGAAACAAATGATTCTGTCTCAAAGATCTTGGACCCTTGGATTAATTTTATCTCCCACAAAATAGGAGTCCTGGATCTTGTCATCCACTTGCAAAAGTCATACTTTAGAGATTTGGATCTTTACGATAGGATCAGCTCTGTGGACCGGTGAGAAGTATTGGCTTTAGGAGGTTGCGTGGCAGAGATGAGCAGATCATAGTCATTCAGAGCCTAGGGGGTAGTTGGTAAGCTCAGATCAGCCTAGGCCTTTTTCCTTAGCACAGACCAAGAAAACAAGCAGATGAAGATGTTAACTGTTCAGTGTCCTTGAGGACAATTTTGAATCTCCTTTGTCCCCAGACTTGCCACATCATTTGTGCCCTGTTTGCTGTCCTTTTCTTATTTTACCCTTTAGGGCCATTTTGTAATCTGGCAATGCCACTTGCGTCCATTGTCAGTTTCCACTTTTTTTTTGCCAAAGGTTTTTTTTTTTCTTTCAAAGTTTAAGAACTAGGCAAAATTTGCATTGGAGACTTTTTAATACTAGAAAACTGGATCCCTCACTGAAGAGGCAGCCCCACAATAGAACATTTGTGGAGACTTCACATTCTCTAACATTACAGAGAAGGGGCTGACAGCGTTTTTCATGTGCTTTTTCCTAGAGGTGTGGAAGGCTGACGACCAGATGGAGAGGGACCACAGCAACCCAGATGAGCAGGCGAGGCCATTTATCATTTTTAAGAACCAAACCCCCATTGAGGAAAGAGGTAATCTCTTTGGAAAAACATTTAATCTGAGCACAGATTTTGTGTCTTTAAGGCAAGTACCCTATAAATACGACTTATATGAAAAAACTTTGAAATCGAATTCAGACTTACTTAATAGTAATAGAAGCTATGTAAGAAAGAGAGCTGATGAGTGTAACGGATTTGGAAAAGCACTCCTCTATCTGAAGCAAGAGAAAACCCATAATGGATTAGAATACTCTGAATATAACAAAAGTGGAAAAGTCTTTAAAGAAGCCATTTTTAAACATCAGAAAATAAGAAATTTGGTACAACCTTTTATTTGTAATTACTGTGACAAAGCTTTCTCCTTTAAGTCACTCCTCATTAGTCACAAGAGAATACACACTGGAGAAAAACCTTATGAATGTAATGTATGTAAGAAAACCTTCTCCCATAAAGCAAACCTCATTAAACATCAAAGAATTCATACGGGGGAGAAACCCTTTGAATGTATTGAATGTGGAAAAGCTTTCACCCACCAGTCAAACCTCATCGTACACCAGAGAGCACATATGGAGAAGAAGCCCTATGAATGCAGTGATTGCGGCAAGACATTTGCCCAGAAATTTGAACTTACTACACACCAGAGAATTCATACGGGAGAACGACCCTATGAGTGTAATGAATGCGCGAAAACCTTCTTCAAGAAATCCAACCTCATTATACATCAGAAAATTCACACGGGGGAGAAACGCTATGAGTGCAGCGAATGTGGTAAGTCCTTTATCCAGAACTCACAACTCATTATACACATGAGAACTCATACCGGGGAGAAACCCTACGAATGTACTGAATGTGGCAAGACATTCAGCCAGAGGTCAACCCTTAGATTACATTTGCGAATCCATACAGGAGAGAAACCATACGAGTGTTCTGAATGCGGGAAGGCCTTCAGCAGGAAATCCCGGCTCAGTGTCCATCAGAGAGTTCACTTGGGGGAAAAGCCCTGAGAATGCAGCCAGCCAGGACCGTGGAAAACCCTTCCACCCCAACCCTTGACCATGGGGGAGAAACCACACGAAGGTACTGAAGGAACATGGAAATTCATAGTGAGATACAATCCATCACATCAAAAAACATGTAAAAACAGGGTCCCCTCAGAAGAGTGTTATACCCAAAGTTAGATACGATGCTCAGCTAAAGAATATATATCAGCATATATCCAATTGTAAATAGACATGCTTATTAGTTGTATTACAGTGAGCTTTTACAAATCTTGAGTTACTCAAGAATGAAATGTTCTGGTCAGCAGCATAAAGGATCAATCCCTTAGGAATTTAGTGGTTACGTGTGATCCTTAGATCTACACATGTAAATTTAACACAGTCACTGGGAGTTTGAAATTCTTGTCCTCTGACAGTTGGGGCACGAATAAGATTTTCCATGCTAAACATAGCGTGTTTTTCAGTACCTTTCCGAGCCAGTATGCATTCCACATGAAATAGGTAACAGTTTCCGTGGCGAATGGCCTGTGTTTTCTCCTACTGCTCGCTGGCATAGAGAGTCGGTCTGACCATCGTTATTCCGCTGCCTCTTCAATAAACAGAAGACAATGTTGAAGTTTTAACTTGCTTCTGAGGTTGCTAATCACATCAATATGTAAATGAGCTATAATTAAGAGGGGATTTTGAGAGTGCAGGAGCACTGTGGGCCGGCACTCCGTGCATGCCCCAGCTGAAGAGGCCCTGTCTCTAGCGCACAGTTGTTTTGCAGTGGGCTGTTTACATAAAAGTGCATGTCTTTCAACATAGTGTGTAACCCAGAAACTACTTGTACTTTTATTTTTGTGTTTCCCTATTTCTCAATATTTTATAAATTATCTTACAAAAAAGTAGGATGTATATGTCGTTCACAAATGTTACATTTTAGAGACTTTAGAGAAAAAATTTAAGAAACTGTCAGTAAATGTCTTACTGCTTTTTAAAATGTCCATGTGCACAACACACTTTAGAAACGCGTTTTTGCCCACATTCTGTTTAAAGGACGCATTTCCACTGCCTGAGTTTCACGGTCATCAACCAAAAGCGTCTCCCTTCGGAACTCTTCAGTACAGGCTAAGCCTTTCCTTTAAAGGTTCACAAACACCTTAGAAGTTAGACTTTTCAGTGATCTCTCCCTATGTTTAACAATTAACCTAAAAAAAAAAAGCTTTTTGCATAACTCAGAGGCAAACCATCTTAGTATTGATTTCAAATTCCTGTTTCTCTCCTGATCAGTCATAAATCACACACTAGATTTGTCACTGGCAACTGTAACTGGCCTTTCTCTTCCTTGTTTCTGAATGTCATTGATGTGCTGTGACTATATATGAATGTGACTGACTTTCTGAACAGGTTTTACCAGAACAGCTCTAGTCCAGTAAGTCTTTGTCTTTCTAAATTGTCATCTTGTCTACTACCAGCAAGGAAGCAGGGGAAAAGATTCATCTCATACGCTGCTGTTAGAAATGTGTAAAGTGTGACTCAACATTAAGGATACACAGACCCTTCAATCCAGGAGTCTCACTCCTGGGAATCTATCCCTAAGAAAAGATAAAGTGCCAGTACTTAAGATTATATGTTTATCAATGTATATTGTATTTTTTGATAAGGACAAAAAAGGAAACAATGTGAATAACCATCAGTAAGAGAATGATTGAATAAACTGCAGTAAAACTATACCATGGCTGGATGGTATTCCATGGAGAAGAATGTGTAAGCGCAAATGTTTCCAGGTCAGACGAGGAGAGGGAGAGCGAGGGGGGAAGAGAGGGTTTGTGTGCGTACAAATTTCTAAAATAAAGATCTAAGTATATGTGTTTGTGTGTATTTGTATGATTTTATGGTCCTGGATAATAAAATTCTCTATCAAAAAATACAATTACCGGGGCGCGTGGGTGGCTCAGGCGTTAAGCATCTGCCTTCGGCTCAGGACATGATCCCAGGGTCCTGGGATCGAGCCCCGCATCAGGCTCCCTGCTCAGCAGGAAGCCTGCTTCTCCCTCTCCCACTGCCCCTGCTTGTGTTCCCTCTCTCGCTGTGTCTCTGTCAAATAAATAAAATCTTTAAAATATATATATATAATTACCATTAAGTCTAATGGAAAATGTTCCATGCATTCCTTGGTCCCTAAATTAAGTCATTTATACTAAAACATAACTCACTCGTAACACAAATTATTCACTTACAACACAAGTTAAATAGTTAACACTAGCTAACATAAGGCAGGCTCTCTCTAAAACGGCTGTCTTCTGTTCTCAGGCTCCAGCTTTCATAGCTGTATGGAATGCTTGAGCCAGTGTTCTCCATGAAAACACATATTTGACATTCATTGTTCACACAAGGAAATCTTTAATACAAAAAAAATAGTAGAGACAGAAAAACCCATCAAGTCATTTTTACGAGGTCGTTATTACAAATCAGCAAATTACAAATGGTTTGAGAAAACATACCGACCTTTACAAATGCAGAGGTAACCATTGGGTTAACTGTTCTTTCATGAGCTGTTTGCTCCCAAGGTCCTAGAAATTCAGATCGGGGAAAAAAAAAATTCCTTGTAATCCTCATAAATCAAAGTGGTTTTAGATGAAACTTCTCCTGAAACAGGTTCTTACATCCTGGGCATGTGGGTGCATTTCCGTCTTGCAGCGCGCTGGCTACAGCTGGCCGAGAGGCAGTGCACTGTGCATAGCAAGACCCAGCCGGTAGGGGCTGCCTCCAGATGCTGACCTCTACCTATCTGACTCCAACCCCCAGGCCCTCTGCACTTGGCCCCATTACCTGTCTTTATTCCATTTGATATTCTAATTTTGGAGTTTCTATTTCCACAGATAACCTTTTCATAACTAAAATGCTTACACTTTCCCCCATTGTTTTAATGCTTCATAAATTTAAAGTTGGGGATCCTCTTGGCATGAAGCTAGCATTGATAAATTTAATTGGCATCTCTCTACTGTTAAGTCTAAGGATGGTGGGGGGGTTGTAGGTCTAAGGAAACTGGGATGAGGTGCTGAGGCACAGCTTGAAAAAAAAACATGGAAATGTGAGATGCTGTGGGTCCTCAGGGTTGGGGGGCGGTGACCTTGTGGAATGCAGCTAGAGGTTTCATTCCAGCCACCCTGTCCCGTCGTCCTCCGCGGCTGCATGAGGGCACAGAGCCCCAGTCCCAACCCGACAGCTGGCGTGGGCCATCAGCAACCTGGGCCATCCCCAGGCCTTGTTTGGCTAGAACTTTTCTTGACTCTACTACTTACCTGGATTGTCCCATCAAATCCTGCTGGCCCAAGTAGAGTGGACTCTTGGTGTCTGGTGTCCACTTACATCTTCTGACTTGGCTAGGTCTGTATTCTGGGGATTTTGAAGGGAAAAACTCCCATAGTTCATCCTGCTGAGCAGTAGTCAATAGAACATACCTAAGACTCTCTACTCTGGTTTTCCAGATCTTAGCTCAGTGTTGGTGACCTTCCTATGCTCAGGTTTTCTCTCTTCTATCCCAAGAAGCTGCTCTTCTATCTCAGACATACACATTGAACTGTATGTAACATGTTTGAATAAAGGACAATCTACCTTTCTTGGTTTTATAAGAACTGTCAGAATGTTAACCAAAATACAACAAAGAAACCAAAACACACCTGTAAAGGCTAGTGAGACTTAGGGTCAAAGAATCCAGAGATGGGTACTGAAGACTTCAGTTATAGGTTAGTAAAATGAGCATAAACCCCCATGAGAAGTCCGGACCACAGCTGTTGACACTGATAGTGGACATGGGTATATTCATTCATTCCAGAAAACATTTTAGGCACCAGCAAGGGAGCAGGCATTCGTGGGCTGCCAGGGATAAGGTGGTGAACAAGATCATATTGTGACAGAGGGCTCCGGTCTTGGAGATGTTTGCTTATTAGCAGTGCTTCCCCGGAGCAGAAGGAAAACCGGGTAGAGGACATGCTTCAGGAAGCTGGAGACAGGTATGGGCTGGGCCTGCCCCTGTGAGAAAAATGAGAAGCCACAGGAGAGCTTCAAGTAAGGAATAGCATTATCTGCTTTTTAACAAGTGATGCTAACTGGGAGGAGAATTTGAGTAGGTGCCCAGAAACAGAAACCCCCCACTTAAGAGGAGAACCCTAAGAGATGAGGTTCTGCCAATTCATGGTCACCGTTTCAACGGCTTTCAACAAAATTTCAAATAGCAACCAAATGCTTTATTACTGATTGTTGGCAATCAGGGAGAAATGCTCTTGCAAATTCAAGTTCACTTAAGTTCCTGCTTCCCTGGATCTCTTCCCAATGTCTCCTGGTGTTTGAACCATTCCTCTTCCTCCAGCCCATCCAGACTTAAGAGAATTACCCATTCTCACCTCAACACTCTGGAACTCCACACCCAAAAGGACATTTAGAGTAACTGTCCAGGTGATCTGGGACAGGGCTGACCTGAGCACTTTCTCCATCTGGTTGATGCTGAATATGGGCAGGGGAATTATCTGAGGCTGGTTTCCCTGCAAGGTGCTGAAGCCGTTACTGAAAGTGAGAAAAGGAAGAAGAGTGGTGCATGAAGGCTGATACCTCTTAGCAAAGTGAGGCGAGGCTGGACTGAGCAGGGGCGGCCCCCTTTCAATTGAAGTGGCAGAAACCAAGATGCGGGAAGTCCTCTCATGCTGGGATGTATGCCTCTGAAGGTAGCAAGAGGCCTGTGGGACTATGGCCTCAGATCACTTTGCTCAGGGCAACAGACACTGTAATGTTGAAAAATAAAGCCAGACTTTGTGGTAAGCATCAGGCTAGGGGTGGGGCAGGGACTGGCGATGGTCGGCTGGTTTGGCTGTACTAGGTACAGGCCCAGGCTGAAGAGTGGGCAGGCACAGGGTGGCCAGGCCTGGGCAAGAGGGGGGTCGCTGAGGGGTGCCCCGCTGAGACAGACAGACGTCGATGGAACAGGCCATCTTGAGGAATGGGTGATTGGTAGCAGGTGGAAAAACATGACCAAATGGGTCAAGCTGCTGAGATGCTTAATATGGCTACCTGTGACCTCAGGAGGTCAAATGCTAATAAAAAATACTAGCAACAGCTGCTTCCAGCAGACCCGTAGTAACAACAGTACTGCGATTAGTGATGGTCAGTAGGTATTGCTTCTTATGCTCTTGGGCAGCATGCTGCTCTTCACTTTG